ACAAAGACACACATCAAGATAAGATTGTTTTACAACTCAAAGGAATGTAGAGTTTTCACTCTAAATTCACTTTGAAACAGGCAAATGTACCCATGTACTATACAGTCCATCCTAATTCTATCTCCCTCTAGATGTAACCACTTGAGAAATGTAGGGACATGTACCCAATTTTCCCCATCTCATTATTTTTCCTCTTATAGGGTTTTGCTTATGTATTGATACAAACTCTTTTAAATGAACATTTTAGAATTGCATACTATTGTTAACAGAGGTCACAGGTATGCCATGTTTGGTATCTTTCAGCTGCATTTTTAATGGTCTAAATGTTCATTTATATTATATGTTGATACCTATGGAAGGTATTAGTGTTACCAGAATCTTTAATAGTTTCTTCATCAACATCCAATCAAAGACCATACGCAAAACATATGCCTGAGTACAAAGGGTCGTAAACTTTCCCTCAGAAGGTACACTTTCTCATTGGCTCACTCAAATCCTGAGGGTGTGGCATCGTCACCCTTTATAGATCACTGATCACCAGATCAGGGGGTTTCTTTTAGATTCAGTAATTCCAGGAGAAGATGCTGAGCTTAGAGTCTTAAAATCCCCCCTAAGCTTGTGCCAGGCTCCTGCCTAGTCTTTCCATTCATCAAGATCCTCTGAATCAAACTGGTTCTTTCTCATCAACTAACTTCAGCAGAGACCAACTGGAGCCCCAAAGTGCATCAGGACTCTTTTTCAAACAGGCGAGACGTGCAAGTATCAAACTTAGTTTTATTAATGGATATATTAAGTATAATTTGCACCCTTTTACAAAGGTGTGTTGAAAAAAAATTAACTTAAATGATTTTAGCAAATGGCTGCAATATAACAAAGAGTGAAAAATTTAAGGGGGTCTGAATACTTTCCGTACCCACTGTATATATATATATATATATATATATAGTTTTATTAAATAGTAAAACAATATATAAAGTTTTATGGGGTCCCATAGACTAATGAAATAATAATAATAATAATAATACATTGCTTGTAAAAATATGGTTCCCTTTCAGTCGGTCACTCTCGACGGCATGTCGGTGACCGATGAATTGGGATCTCGCTTAGAGAGACCAATCAACTTCGAGTGTAAACTAAACGTGCCAATGCATGTTGGCATGCGATTATTGCATCCAGCTGCCGCTGAACACAGCGTGAGTATAAGTAGGCAGCAGGTGCAGCACATATTCAGCTTGTCGCTTCGGAGCCGAGCGATCACATCGTTCTGCTCCTGACTATTCTACTGAGAGAAGAAGACTGAACGAGTTCAGCACGCTCTTGGAGAGCTCTTCGTGTTGGCGGTACGGCGCTTCAGCGGTGGTGGTTTCCCGTGTCGAGTGGGTTGCACACATCAGGCTGCACTTCCCCCTGTATGTGTTGCAGGCGGCCATCTCCCCTGTGTGCTTCAGCACGCTAGAAGAGCTTTTCCCTAAAAGAGCATTCACGGGTGCGTCTTTTTAAAGTCGACGTTGCGTGGCAAACTCGACTTTACGTCTTTGTAAAGACGATGTGGGTCTTGCTATAGACAACGTATCACCCGGTGACACTGAGATGTCAAGTAAATACTTACAGTGGATCTAAATATTTCCCCTTTGAGCTGATTCGATACATGGCTTTACCTAAATTTGGTAAAAATCTTAATAGTCAATTCAATGTAGTATGCGCACATCAAAATATCATGGGGTTCACAGAATTACAAATTTAAAATAAGGCGTGCATTTGCTCAGCACAGACCAGGGGATCAAAACTACAATCATGTTTCTAGACAACAAATTTCACAAGAGGGTTTGAGTAAGAGACTCCAAATTTGGAGATTATCCTCTTGCAGTGTGCCAAATGTATATACAGTGGGTACGGAAAGTATTCAGACCCCCTTACATTTTTCACTCTTTGTTATATTGCAGCCATTTGCTAAAATCATTTAAGTTAATTTTTTTTCCTCATTAATCGTTACCTGGCGCCGGGTGATGGTCACGATCGCTGCCTCGCGTGCCTGGGCATTAAGCGCGTTTGTGGATGAGTCATGTTCTCATTGCGGGAAGATGATCATCTCGGAGTCGCGGGCCAAGCTCTGTTTCCTCAAAGGGGTGGAGCTCCGTTGCCTCTGCCTCGATCTAGTTCTCGTCATGGCGGCAGTCAGGCAGGGGCCACTTCAGGCAGTAGCCAGGGCGGTCTGAGGGTAACAGTGATGGCAAACCCTCCAGGGAACCAACCCTCGGGGGACCATCACTCCTCTTGCACTCCGCAACCAGTTGAGCTGCCAATAGAACGTGCTGGGCCCTCTACAAGGAGCGTACCAGGCAACCTGCTCATAGCCGAGGGCGGCCCCCTGCGTCCACGCCCACTCCCGTGCTGCACCCGCAGCGGCCTCAAGCAAGCGGCGCCGTGGAGCTGGGCATAGGCAGGCCGCCCCGCCAACCTGGCGGTGAGCGGAAGATCAAGAGGCCTCGGGACGGGCGACCCAGAGAGAGAGGGATGCACCACTCCCTTCCCCGGAGGAAGGCCGGGTGGAGAATCTGGTTTCCAAACATCTCGAAGCTTGTGTGGTGTCTGGGTACCTGGCTACCCATACCATCTCGCTGATTCCTGCAGACCATCAGACTCGGATATACGATTCAGTTCGCCCGGCGTACCCCCAAGCTCAGCGGCATCCGCTTCACATCAGTGAAGGCGGCTGATGCTCCTGTCTTGCGTGCAGAGATCGCAGTCCTACTGACGAAGGATGCGATAGAGCCAGTCCCTCCAGCTGATATGGAGATGGGGTTTTACAGCCCCTACTTCGTTGTACCCAAGAAAGGCGGTCGTCTTGAACCGGGGCCTTCACCGGTTACCGTTCAAGATGTTGACGCAGGAACGCATCTACGGGTGCATCCGTATCCAAGATTGGTTTGCAGCGATCGACCTGAAGGACGTGTACTTTCATGCGTCGATCCTTGTGACCGCTGCACTGAGACAGGGGGCTGCTTATGCCATGTGATTTAGCTAGCAACCACAAGCTTTTCTGTGCCCTGTACACGGCTGGCCACTGCTCCAAGGCAGGAGCTGTTTATAGCACGTGAATGAGTGAGCGACTGGGACTCCTCCACTCTGCACACTGCTGAGCGCTGCTCTGAGGCAGGGGACTGTTTACATTGCGTGAATGAGTGAGCGATCAGGACTTCTCTATGCTCTGATCATGGCTGGTCGCTGCTTAAATGCAGGGGGCTGTGTGCATTGCGTAAATAAGTGAGCCACTGGACTTTCTCTGCTGTGTTCATGGCTGGCCACTGCTCTGAGGTGAGGAGCTGCTCGCATCCATTGAATGAGTGAGTAATTGGAATTGTCCTGTGTTCCGCACACTGCCACTCCAAGGCAGGGGTCTGCCTACATTGTGCGAGTGAGTGAACTACTGGAACCTTCCTAACCCTGTACACTGAAAAAAATGATTATGGCCCCAATTAAATTAAGCATAATTCAATTTAATAATTCTAATATTAATTGGTATTATGCGAATTACATGTGTTTTAAATCCAAGCCATGTGAATGAATTAAATTCAGTTAGAAAATATTAAGTTGGTTCTGTGCGCATGCGCGCAAATGCACATTTTCCCTGGCGCCAAAAGGAGTTTCCAGTTCAGTCAGGTTCACGGTGGGAACTGAAGACATTTTCATTCCAGCCCCGGAGTTTTTATCATTCGGTCTATTTGCACAGTAAGTAATATTTTATGTAATACAGCACCATTTATTACAGTGAATAGTTTGTTCGCTCTATAAAGAATATAATATGCTCTAGTCTAGTTCAGAACGAGTCTTTGGGATAAATTCCACAGCGACCAACGGTCACATCCTACTCCGAGCGCGCGCACAAACAAATAACGCAAATATTACTTTTTTAAGTGACAATGTATTTTTAAGATAGTTTTGGATGAAAATGTAGTTTTATAAGCTTAAAATACGCCGTTTATTTGTAAAGATAGCACCTAACATATTTTTAAAAAAATGCTTAAGTGCTTTCGGAGATGCGAGCTCCAGACTGGTTAAGGCTAGAAGGGATACGTATGGCGCTACTGGGCATGCGCACATCAATACAGCGTAATTTTTGTCACACTGTACAACAATTACTATTTTTTCATTATTGTAAGGGGTAGGTTTAGGGTTGGAGTAGGTGTAGACATTAATAAAACACAATCTAATAGGTAGAAAATTAAATTTCATTATAGTTTCCGGTCGGAGCTGTATCCCTTATAGCTACAACCCTCCAGGCCGCACCGGCTGTTCCCTCCTAACGTTTTACCACAGCCAGTCCTTTGGGAATCTGCCGGTTTCTAGTGTGATTAAACATGAGATATAAATCGTTTTGGACGGGTAATCTTTAATCTTCTTAATGATTTGTTCTAGAGCAGTTTGTTTTGGCGGTGGGTAAGGTAGAGCTAGCAGTGGCGGCTAGTCGGAGGAGGCAGGAGAGGCACAGCTTCTCCAAAATTTTGAGGTGAAAATGGGAGGAGGAAGATTTAATGTTAATAAAATTCACAATTCATTGCAGTTCATGTTTCTGATAGAGAATGGGAGGGGGAGGCCGGGGGAGAGTTGAGCTCTCGTGCCTCCGTTGTTAAAAAAAAAAAGACTGTTTTAAACTAACAATAATAATTATTGTGTGCTTGCTTTCATTTGAGGTTCTCTCTGAACATGCATGTGACTCGGACACATATGATTTCCCTGTTGCCAAAGGAAGTTTCCAGTTTCGCGTGGTGTGAATTGAAGTCATTTGCCTGAAGTGTTTCCAATGATTTGCACAGTAAGTATTTTTATATTATGCATCACCACATATTACAGTAAACATTCAGTTGACTTTAATGTAAGCAAGTTGCTCTGTAAGATCTGAATGCTCATATATGGCATAGCAACGTCTGTTAATTTGCGTCATTGTGTTTTTCTTTTATGTTTTTGTCAGTTTAATGTTTCAGTGTAAATATCTTTACTACTAAAACATCCCCCTTTTTGCTAGCTTTAATGGTGCAGCATGTAAAATGTGTTTGAAAAAATAACAAACATCAGGAAAAACAAGGAAATGTAAATCCTCTGAACATTTTGAAGATTATTATTACATTATTCTGAAGGTTATTGTTCCCTTTGTTTTCTGTATGCTCGTGTTGCTTACAGTTAAAGTCGTTCTCTGATTTTATTGTTGTTTGCAACGTTGTAACGTAATTGGCAATATTTTAAAGATAGTATTATTTTGGGTATTTTGCATGGTCTGTTATTGGAGTAGTGTCACCTGGGTGGGAGTTTTAACTCATTCACTGGGAATAACAAATCATTGAGGGGATGCAGAGTCATATAGACCGGGGGAATCCCCACATCTCCCCACCCTCTGAATATTACATATCATAATGTAACTACGTGTAAGCGTTTTTTGACGGTTTTTGCTTGGAAAACCAGCTGTATTTTTCTAGCTTTTAGAGATGACTTCTTGAAAGACCTGGAAAACATTGCCATGGGCATATGTGTCATTAAAAAGGAAGGAGGTGTTCTTGGAGACTACGACAATATTGGAATCATTGTTGATGGAGTAATGATTCTTGAGCAGATCAAATCTGTGGCACAAGCCTGTGCATTGATGCTGGGTACAATCTATGTGCTTAATTTGGCATACCCAAAAGAACTCAAATACTACTATGAATTTGTTCAGAAATTCCTTATGCAGATGGATTCTGAAAGGCTCTCCCCCAAAATTCTAGGACTGAAAAACAGTTTACTGCTGTAATTTTGCAGCAGGCATGTATGTGCAGGCTCAGCATGAAATGTTAGTCCAGATGTCAGCCTACATTGCACTATTTTCCATTTAAGTCCTGTATATCAGTAGTTCAAACATTTTTTAATTCCCTTACAAATTGCAATTTGTTGCATGACATGTGAACACTTTGTTGTGCAGTTTTAGCACTGTTTTATTCACTATTGTTATGATTCACAACTGTACTGTTGCCTGTTTCTACATTATATTTTTATTAATTGTGCAATGTTAAGTCAGCACTCCTGTTTTTAACATTTGTGCAGTTTTAGCGTTGTTTTAATGATTCACAATGTGGCCTCTTTCCACCTGTGATTTTTTGTTTTTTTATTTTGTGAATGTGCAATGTTAAGTAAGCACTTGTTTTAAACACTTGTACCCACAAAGAAACTGTTATTGAACATGCACCTCATTTGATGACATTAAAGATAAGTTTAAAACATTAAACATACTACTGTCTGTATTTTCACAATGTGGCCTCTTTCCACCTGTGATTTTTTGTTTTTTTATTTTGTGAATGTGCAATGTTAAGTAAGCACTTGTTTTAAACACTTGTACCCACAAAGAAACTGTTATTGAACATGCACCTCATTTGATGACATTAAAGATAAGTTTAAAACATTAAACATACTACTGTCTGTATTTGCAAAGCCATTTAAGGATCTCTCCTTCAGAAAAAAATATTTTTTAAGGTAAGCGGTTGCAAACAATTTATTTTAAAATGTTAAAAGATAGTTAACGAAATGTGTTTATTTAAATCTAGTTAAAATAAATTGATTGCAACCACTTACCTTAAAAAATTTTAGTAAATTAAATGAATAATTTTTTATCAGTAATAAATAAATAATTTAAGAGGAAGTAACAATTAAATAGGGCTGAAATTACTTTTTTTATATACTAAGGTAACTCAATAAAATTGGTTAAGTTCAACTAAATTTGTTTGTTTAAATTTAGATCAAATCAATTGATTGCAACCACTTACCTTAAAAAAATTGAGTAAATTCAATGAATAATTTTTTTCAGTGTACAAGGCTGACCGTTGCTCTGAGGCAAGGAGCTGCTGCTCTTGCGTGAATAAGCGAGTGATTGAGGCCTTGCTGTGTTCTGCACACAGTTGGGAGAGGAAAAGCAGTGAGTGGACAGCTTATCCGTCATAATATAAAATATGTCATACTCACCGGAACACTACAGGGAACGGCAATCCAGGCACCATCCACTGGAGAGCGTGCCTTCAATGGTGAGCGTTAGGAGGCTTCATAGCTATGTGAAGGAGAAAGATTCTGAGGTAATATGGCACATGGCGCTGCATTTATAGCGGCTAAGCCTGCCAATCAGACAAGCGCTCAAACACCATTGTCTATTGCAGCACAATAGCGCGATTCAATGAGGCTTCAGGAAGGTTCGGAGAAAGGGATTTCACCTAGTATCCTTTGCAATGTCTAGAGACAGACTTGAAAGGGAACAAAACTAACACTGCCTTTTTTGGAAAAATAAATGCTTGATATCCCAGAGATATAAAGTAGGAATAACCTCCAATTTTGAATACAATTCAGCATAAGAGATAGGTGCTGATGTATAGGTTTTTGTTATATCCTGCTTTCTGTGCAAGCGATTCTCCTAAGATATTCTCTGTCTGAAGGAAACAGATGTATCTGATGAAAGCAAGTCCTCGGGACTCTGACAGGAACAAATGGAGTTTGATTGACGATAAAGCAAACAGATCAGTGAATGCCTAAATCAATCTCCATGAATCAGAGCCATCTGACATGAGTTGCACCATCCCTGTGTCACTTAACACAGCACTTTCAACACGTCTGTTGCGTTGCTTATAATGAGCACACTTGTTTAGAGCTGCATGAGAGCAAAATAATTTCTGTCAAACTCAGAATGGGAAAATTAACTAGTCTCAATAGTCATTACAGGGAAAACAGCTGTGTTTTTTTTTACATCTGTGGTTCAATGTAAAGTATTTTGCTATTTGAAATTCATTGTCAGTTCTGTTGTGAAAATATTGACATTTATAAACTGATATAATGTACAATACATCTTAAATGGTTTTACTAAAGAAGAAAAAAATGTGTATATACAGTGGGTACGGAAAGTATTCAGACCCCCTTAAATTTTTCAATCTTTGTTATATTGCAGCTATTTGCTAAAATCATTTAAGTTAATTTTTTTTCCTCATTAATGTACACACAGCACCCCATATTGACAGAAAAACACAGAATTGTTGACATTTTTGCAGATTTATTAAAAAAGAAAAACTGAAATATCACATGGTCCTAAGTATTCACCCCCTTTGCTGTGACACTCATATATTGAACTCAGGTGCTGTCCATTTCTTCTGATCATCCTTGAGATCGTTCTACACCTTCATTTGAGTCCAGCTGTATTTGATTATACTGATTGGACTTGATTAGGAAAGCCACACAACCACTGTATATATATATATATATATATATACATATATATATATATTAGGTTTAATCTTACAAAATGAAGATAAAATGATTTGCTAATTGTGCAAAATAAATAAAATAAAATAAACTCATATAAATGATATACAAGTACTGAGCAAACTCTTATAGGCACATACAGTAGATGTTTCACTAAAAACATTTTTAAAATGGTAATTTATATCTTTTGCATTGTCAGCCAGGGATTACATAAAAATAAAGATCTAAAATGCCTAAACTTATAGAACTGTGACATCTTCTTCAAGATGCTTAAAACTAAATCTAAAGATGAGAAAATTGAACCATTACACCCCTATACTGCACATTGATATAAATAATTTAGAAACACTTAATTTAAACCAGATTGGTTTTGTAAGAAATAGATGTTTAATAACATGAGAAATAACATTTTACTTGCAAAGTCTGTAAACAATTCACCACCATGATGCTTTATGACAAAATCCACAGAGCATTTCAAACAAGAAACAGATAACATCTTGAACTTTACCACACCAAAATAGACTCATGCGCTGTGAGAGGGTATAAATTAAAAAAAGGAAAATTGACATTCTATCCTCAAGAGCATTGAGTGACACACTGACACTCCATGTAAAAACACACAGTGAGAATCAAAACTTTGAGAACGACATAAAAATACTCTTTTCCACTTTTTCCCCACTACATTTTCTTTTCCAAATCACCATGAGTAGCACAAAATAACCATACAGTATGTGACCACTCAACATGCAGCTGAAACAATCAAGTATTCCCATGCAGTGGAAGGGCTTCCAAGTGAACAGGTAGAAAAAAATGGCACACTATCCCCTTTGTTGTCAGGAACAGCCAACTGGAGCTCTCTGATTTTGGGCCTCTGGATCCCAGGACAGAACATCTTGTGCATGAATTATCTTCTGTTGTTGGTCTAAAGATGAGAACTTGGACCTCAGGCTATGGCGACGGAGGGGCCTTCAGGGAATTACAGGAACCTCCCTGGCTTCCCCCTCCAGTACTGTGATACTGCAAAGAGTGCAGGAGAACAAATCACTAGTCATCTTAGTTCACTCAAAACTTCATTAGCCATGCTTGCATTGCTTTGACATTACTGCATTGGACATGTACATTCAGTTCAAGGTTCACAGGTCAAGCACTTAAAAAAATATTAAGTAATAAAAATGTTAAAACAATAAATATACAAGTATTTAGACATCATGTTAGCATTTAATTTATTAAAATGTTATTAATAATATTAATAATGAAATACGCATTTGAGATTTGAATTACGCACATTTAAAACAGTAGGTTGTTTGCACATGATGTCATTGCTGTGGCGAAATACAGCTGGAGGGCAGGAAGTGATTTTTCTATATAGGAATCGCTAGCGAGACGGATAATGCTCATGTGTGCAAATGGTTAATATAATATATAATAATACATTAAGATATTAATAATATATTAAGATATTGTTATTAATAATAATAATCATAATAATACAATATCACAATAATAATATTAATATATAAATAGATAAGGGCTGCCAGTGTTGGGGAGTAACTAGTTACATGTAATGGCGTTACATAATTTAATTACAAAATAAATGTAACTGTAATCAGTTACAGTTACTAAGAAAAAAATGTGTAATTAAATTACAGTTACTTATGAAAATGTTAACGAGCTAGGGCAGACAACAACACAACCCTTATGAAAATTAACGATGATTTTACTATAAATCACAATCTACAAAGACAATGGTTACTATTGCTAAACCATGGTAACCTCAAATTAACCATGGTAAATACAAAACTACACTGACCATAGTATAAGAATGGAATTTGTAGTAAAAATAAATACAAATGGTAATCCATTTGCCAAAAAAAAAAAAGGTTACTGTACTTTTACTATAATAAAAGCATGG